GTGGAGCTCCTTGTGTGGGCACGAAGCGCGTGAGGGATGTGCCGAAACGGGGGTGGCGCCCACATGCGGGCTGCTCTACTGGGGCCTGAGGTGGTGCTCCTTGTGGGGCCACGAACAGTGTGAGGAGTGTGCCGAAACGGGGGTGCCGCCCACATGCGGGCTGCGCCACGGGGGCCTTGGGTGGAGCTCCCTTTGTGGCCACGTAACGCGTGAGGTCGGCGCCCACATGCAGGCTGCGCTAATCGGACCTTCGGCGAAGCTCCCCATGGGGCCACGAAGCGTGTGAGGGGTGTGCCGAAACGGGATCGGCGCCCACATGCGGTCTGCGCAACTTGGGCCTGCGGTGGAGCTCCCTATACATAGGGCCACGCAACTGTGAGGGGTGTGCCGAAACGGGGGTGACGCCCACATGCCCGCTGCACCAATGGGACCTTAGGCGGAGCTCACTGTGTGTGTGGGGGGGGGCGCGAACAGTGTGAGGGGTGTGTCGAAACAGGGGTGGCGCCCACATGCGGGCTGCGCCAATGGGGCCTTGGTGGGAGCTCCTGGGCCACGAAACGCGTGAGGGATGTGCCGAAACGCGGTCGGCGCCCACATGCGGGCTGCGCCACTGGGACCTTCGGCGGAGCTCCCCATAGGGCCACGAAGCGTGTGAGGTGTGTGCCGAAACGGGGGTGTCGCACACGTGCGGGCTGCTCCACTGAGGACGTAGGGGGAGACCCCTGTTGGGCCACGAACTGTTTGAAGGGAGTGCCGAAATGGGAGTGATGACGATGATGGTGTTGATGCCGGCCATGATGATGATGATGATGATGATGATGATGATGATGATGATGATGATGATGATGATGATGATGATGATGATGATGATGAAAATGATGATGATGATGATGATGATGATGATGCTGATGATGATGATGATGATGATGACGATGATGACGATGATGACGATGCTGATGATGAGAGGAGGAGGGAAGGGTGCAGCGGGTGGGGAGGAGGGGCGAGGAGGAGAAGGAGAAGTGACGCGGGGCGCTGTCTCTTCAAAGCCAGGACCCAGCACAACAGGATGGTTGAAGAAAAAGGTAGAGACAGGCAGAAAAGAGAGAGAAAGAGAGAGAGAGAGAGACATAGACAGAGAGAGGGAGAGAGAGAGAGAGAGAGAGAGAGAGAGAGCAAGATGCGTACATGTGTGTCTATATGCGTAGATTACAGGAGTGCACTGGTGATTCGCCCCGCGCACATTGGTCCTCCACGTCTCCTCGCAGAACAGGTGGCACTCGTGCCCTGGCCCTCGCGCGGGTGGCCGCAGCCCAGCCACGAGCGAACGAACGAACCACGAGCGGCGGATCCAGGGGGGAAAGGGCCCGGGCGAGGACCAGGGCAAAGCCATGGGGGAGAGCCCGGGGAAGGACCGCGACGGAGACAGGGAGAGAGGACGGACCGGCGGGCCATGAGATGAAAGAGGCGCGGCGCCAAGGGGGAGCCAGCGGAGAGGGCCTGGCCTGGAGTGGGGGAGCCCCGGGCCGGGGGGGGGGGCGGACCAGGACGGACCAGGGCGGAGCCAGGCAGAGGGCCTGGACCAGGGAGCGATGGCGAGACAACCAACCAACACATCGACCATCCGACCAGCGAGCCGAGAAGACAAGGGGCTCCGAGGGCATGGGGGAGGACCTGTGCGGAGGCCCGGACGGGGGGTGTGGCCTCAGGCCGAGCCACGGAGAGGGGCGAGGAGCGAGCGAACCAACCGACCAGCCAACGAGCCGCGAAGACGAAGGCCCTGGCTCGGCCCCTGGGGGAGGGAGGGAGGAGGGAGAGAGAACGGACGCACGAACGAACTGACCAGCCAGCCAACCAACCAGCCGCCAACGAGCCACAACGTTAAGAATTGGCCAGGGAGGCGGACGGCGTCGAACGGCGCTCCGTCCAGGAGCTAGGGCCAGGGCCCAGGGGCAGGGCCCAGTGGCCCGTCGGCCAGCCGCGGCCACGAAGCTTTCATCTTCATCATTCCGAGCTGTAGGCCACAGCTGCTTCAAGAGAAGAAAGCAATCGAAAACCCTGGGGGCGGGGGGTCAGCAGAGCCGGGGTAGGCCAGGAGAGGCCAGGGAGGCCAGGGGGGGCCAGCAGGGGATGCCACGACGACGCGACACGACGACGAACATACAGCAGTCCTAAGCCCTGGGGGGGTCGGGGAGCAGGGCCAGGGGAGGAGGCCAGGGAGGCTGGGGGGACAGGGGAGGCCACGACGACACGACACGACACGACACGACGGAAAACATGATGCAATCCGAAGTCCTGGGGGGGCAGGGCAAGGGGAAGCTGGGGGGGCCAGGGAGGCAGAGGGGGCGAACCAACCGACCAACCGTCGAACGACGGAAACAGAGGGATCCGAGGGGGCCTATGGGGAGGACCTGGGCGGTGGCGTGGACTGGGGGCGCTCAGGGCCGAGCGAGAGAGGGAGGAGGAACGGACCAACCAACCGAAGAACGAGTGACGAAAGTACAGGGCTTCGAGGGCCTGGGGAGGGGATCTGCGCGGAGGCCTGGACTGGGGGTGCCTTGGGCCGAGCCAGGGAGGGACGACGAACCAGCCCACCAACGAGCCACGCAAAGAAAGGGCTCCCAGCTCCAGAACACTGCGCAAGAAATTCTGATATGAAAAACGCCCTGAGGGGTACAGCGAACCTCAGCCTCGGTGGGCGGTGGGGGGGGTAGAGTCGAATTCTCCCTAGAAAGGTGAACTCCCCTGACTGGCAGCAACGCGTGACCACCTCCAACGCTCGTGCAAACATCTCGCCACCTACCCACAACTTGCTGGCACAACTCAACTGGCGTAATGACGAGATAACCCTTCTCGTGCAGACCCATGCCTTGGACGAGCGAGTGCTGACGAATGATGAGGTTGCAATGGCGACGAGTGTGACGACAACAGAGACGACGATTGAGATGCATATGAACAGGATGCTGATGAAGATGATGATGATGATGATGATGATGATGTGATGAAGACATGTCAGAGGTGCGTGATGAACATGATGCTGCATACGGAGATGGCGATGAAGATGAACATGAGTCTATGCATGTGAACGGTGGAGGTGCATGTGGAGATGATGACGACGATAATGGTGATGATGTTGGTACTGATGATGATGCTGGCGCTGATGATGATGATGGTGATGATGATGATGATGATGATGATGATGATGATCATCGTGATGGTGATGGTGATGGTGATGATGACGATGATGGTGATGATGAAGATGCTGATGATAATGCTGATGATGATGATGATGATGATGATGATGATGACGATGATGATGATGATGATGATGCTGATGATGATGATGATGTTGATGGTGGTGATGATGGTGCTGATGATGACGATGGGGTTGACGACGATGCAGATGACGGCGGTGGGGTTGACGACGACGATGTTGATGGTGATGGAAGTGCTAGTGATGATGCAAACGCTGATGATGGTGGTGACAGTGGCAATGATGACGCTGGCGATGATGCTGAGTTTGATGATGATGATGACGATGATGATGATTATGCTGATAATGATGCTGATGATGGTGGTGCTGGTGAGGATGATGTTGAAGTGCACGCGCAGAAACGATTAAATCCTACAACAAACAAGGAACCGCGCTTGGGTTTTCCATTGTTGTTTGAAACTGTATGTGTTGAAATGCTTCGGCTAATTGGTTTCGAAAGATTTGGGCGTGGGCGCACTGGGACGCCGCACGCGCATGACCAGCACGGTACTGTACTATTTGACAGAGTTGGCGGGTGCGCGATGATTGTTGAATGTTTTCGGCATGCGCATTCGTGCGGCCCGATTGGTCTCATTCAGCAGGATGAGCAATCACCTGTGGCTGCCTTGTAGATTCAGCGCGCGCAGCATCCTGGCAGATGCTCGATTCAAGAGACACGGGGCTGACAGATGTGCGTGAACTCGTGTACGTGTGGTAGGTGTGCACCTGTTCATGCACAGGTGTGTAGAGAGATAGTCGGGCGCTTCGGACAGCGGCGTGTCCCAAGGAATTCAACGTGCGTGCGCGGCAGAGCGCGCACGTGGCCCGAAAGGCGTCAAGCGACACGGACTCGCAGCAAGAGCACGTGCGCACCGCACAGCACTACCCAACAGGGGAGGAGGAGGAGGAGGAGGAGGAGGAGGAGGAGGAGGAGGAGGAGGAGGAGGAGGAGGACGACGACGAGGAGGAGCAGGAGGAGGAAAAGGAGGAGGAAAACGAGAAGGAGGAGGAGGAGGAGATGGAGGGCGGGGTCGGTGCCAGCTCGGCGGGCGAGGTGGTAGCACGTGATACTCGGAAAGGACGGCAGTGCACAAGCCACGCAGGAACATGAACACATGTGGAGGGGGCTCGATCAGCCCGGCGTCGGAATGGGGGGGAGACTCGAATCCCTCTCGGGAAACCAACATGTGCGGTGCAAGTGTGTTACAAGCTGCGCGTGCGCCCAGAACGCCGGCTAGCGCTCGGTATGCCCACGAGCGGCCGAAAACTTGGAAGGCTCAGCCAGCGCACGAGGAGCGCACGAGGCGCGCACGAGGCGACCACTGGCGGCGACTGACTGAGCATTTGGATTTGATGTGTGCAAGAGGCGTTGCCACGGGCGTCGACTTGATGAAAACTTAGAAGGTCAACCCAATCATTCAGAAAAGGAGAAGTATCAATCCCTTAGAGAAAAAGTATAGTTTGGGAAGTTCTGATAGTTGCAGGATGCACTTGGATTTCCGAAGACAAGCAAGCATCAACGACACTGTTCGGACACACCCTCCTCCTCTTCCTCCTCCTCCTCCCTACCACCTACCTCCCTCATTCCTTCATCCTGCCTCCCTTCTTCCTCCATCTTTCTTTCCTCCTCCCACCTGCCCCCTTCCTCCCTCCCTCCTCCCGCCCCCCCTGCGCTCTCGTTGTCTCTGTTCCCCAGCTGGACGCCCCTCTCTTCCCAGCTCGCCGCGCGCCTACCTGGCCACCGCTCCAGGTCGTCGAGGCGGGGGCGGCGGTGAAGAAGCTGGAGGAGCCCCGCCTGCTCTCGTCGCCAGCACGCGGAAGACTCCAAGATGGGGCAGGGCGCGGGGCAGGGCGTTGGGGGGGGGGAGGGGGGCTGGCGGAGGGCTGGAGGGGGGGGGAGGATGGAGGGAGGGGCACGAGGAGTTTGACGTTCGATGTTCTCCTGGGCCTCCAGGGTCCTCCAGAGGGATCTTGGGCCCCCCCACGGAGCTTGCGAGGCCCCCGGGGGGGGGGAGGGAGGAGGCTTGCGGAGGTTCTCGTTGGATGGGGGGAGGGTGTGCACCACCTCGAGTGTATGTTTCATCGTGCTTTTTATGTTTTTTTGGATGTGTCCAGGGGGTACGGGAAGGGTTGGGAGGAACGGATAGGAGCAGGAGGAGAAGCGGACGAGAGGAAGAGGGCGACGACAATGGGGAGCGGGGGGCGGGGAGGAGGAGGGGAGCAGGCAGGACGAGGGGTTGGGCCTCTTAGAGATCCGCGGGACGTCTCGGCGGGGAGCCCTGGGCCCGAGAAGAGGTTGGCGTGGACCTCCCGGCCGTTGCGTCTTGCTCCGATCTTGGCAGATGATGCGAGTGGGCTCATCCGGCCCCCCGTCTCCCCCCGCTCGCACGCGGAGGAGACGATGCGAGACGTCCTCGACCTGGAAAAGCTGAGCGACCTGCCTGGAGACGAAGCCAACAAAAAGCTGGAAGCCCTGAGAGGGATCCAGCAGGATACCAGAAGGACGCCCGCGATTTTACCAGACGCGCCTCCCGTGCGTTTCTTGATCTTGTGGCACGGAGTTTTTGCGGCAAATTGCTTTAGTATGATGTACATTGTTCTCGGTGGGATCGGATGGATAGGGAGACATCGGAAGAGCAGGAAAAGGCAGAGCAGGAGGAGAAGAAAGGAACATGGCCAGCCATCCAACCATTTTGTTTGTTCTCTCTCTCTCTCTCTCTTTCTCTTTTTCTCAATTTCTCCATCTCTCTCTTTCTCTTTTCTTCTATGCTCTCTCTATGTTAATGTGTGTTTTGTCTCTCTCTCTCTCTCTCTCTTTAGTCTCGGCTCGAAAGCACGTATGTTCAGGGCGAAGCCGCGACACGTAACCTTCCGCGCCCCCAGCCCAGTGAGACCGTATGCAACGGTACCAATCATACGGGACGGATGCGTGTCACTGAATTTTCTTTCCGCGTGCGCGACATGGCTCCGAAAAGTCCTCGCCGTGCGCCTTCTGCAGTACACGACTGGCTACCTCCGACTGGCAGGACACGACACCAACCTCAGTCGCAAGGAAGCTTGCACCGCCGCATTCCAGAGCAGCGGCGGTGCCGACCGAGCAGTCGCTGCCTACAACGAACTCGTTCAAAAGTATCGAGACGATCTTGACAACATCTACCGACAGCACCGCTCCCGCCACACACGCCCCACGAGCCACGCCATATGTCGCCCTCTGTGCAGTTTCACGTGCTACTCCATGTGCCACTACATGGGCCGCTCCACGGGGCACCAGCCACACTACGTATAGCTGTGCCGTCCAGGCAGCCGGTCTGATGCATACAGTGGAATCCCATGCCAAGAAACACCCTGCTTGCCTCCAGGGTGCCCTGGGTTTCTTGGGTTTCCATGGTTTTGCGATGGAAAGCGTGACGTTCCCACGCCAAACATCCGTGGACGTCCTGGGGTCTCAGGGTTGGGTTTCTTGTGGAAGGTTTCTTGTGGACTGGCCTCCACTGTACAAGCAGCTCATGTTCCCCTCATCTCTGGCGATCGCCTGTGTTTGGAGAGCGGGCAGGACTTGCCCCCCTCTCCCGTGGGCGGCTGGGCCAGAGTGCACAGCGAGCGGGCCACCAGGATCGCTGTCCAGCACGGGCAGCATCCTGGGGTCCATTCTAACGCACTCGTGCGCCACGTCGCTACGCAACCCAACGGAGGCGAGCACCACCAAGGCCCCCACCACCGTGTACCCAGGCATAATGTCCCTACCCAACTCTACGGAGAGGAATTACACTACTGTGTCCACCACGACGCGCTCGAGTACCACATCCGCGCCGGGCTCCACGGAATCAAGCAGCACCATGATGTCCTTTTTGACGCCCCCAGGCACCTCATCAGCCTACCACGGCGTCCGCCAAGACGCACTTGGCCACCACGTCAACCAGCTCACGTGTCGGACCGTACCTCGCTGTGCACCAAGACGTCCTCGAGCACCACGTTGACACCCAGGTCTCTGGAGGTGAGCAGTACCAGGGTGTCCAGCATGACACTCTCGAGGACCACGGCAGTATCGACCTGTGGTGTCGAGCTCCACCACGGCGCCCACCACGACGTCCCAGAACAGTACGACGGCGCCCAGCTTTACGGAGTCGTGCAGCACCACGGTGTCCATCACGACGCACTCCGGCACCCCGTCGGATACCAGCCTTACAGCGGCGAGCCGCACCACGGCGACCACCACGACGTCCTCGAGCACCACGGCGGTATCCAGGCCTCCGGGATAGAGTTGCACAAAGGTGCCCAACACGACGCACTCGAGAGCCACGTCGCGGCCCTGCCCATCGGGGCCGTACAGTGCTTAGGTGCCCACCACGACGTACTCAAAAACCACGGCGGTCTCGCGCTTGTTGGAGTCGGACCGTTCGCGGCGTCCCCCACGGCGCACTCGAGCATCAGGGTGGCACCCAGCTTCCCGGTGTCGAGCGGTACCACGGTGCCCACCACCAAGTATCCTACTATACGAATTTTGTCATTAAGCGTGGGTGGTTAATTTTCACCGGTCGGGTTTTTGGGCCCCAACATAATTTTCGCCGGCTTTGAGATTCTCACAGAATATTTTCCGCCGGCCCTCGCGACATGCCTGCTTAATTTTTGCCGGCGCCTATGAACGCATGGAGCATGGACCGTTTCGTCATATGTTGGTTTGTTGTTGGGCTCCTGAGTTCATTACCATCGGCATCATCATCATCATCATCATCATCATCATCATCATCATCATCACAATCATCATCATAATCATCATCATCATCATCATCATAAGCATCATCGTCATATTTGCACCATCGTCGTCATCACCATCCCATAACATCACAATCGGCAACCACCCGTATTCAGCACAGGTATTTCCCACCCGTATTCAGCACAGGTATCTCCGGGCGCCATCGTCACTAACATCGCCTCATCTCATTCACCATCAGCACGAGCATGATCACAATGATCATCACCATCCGCATCATCAGCCACGGTCTCATAATTTTCGTCGGCCCTTGGGCGTCACATTTTTCGCCGGCCTGACAATCTGGCCTTGGGATAATTTTCGCCGGCGTGGCACCCCCCACGACGTTTCCCCCCCCCCCCCCCCCACGTTCAATAACGGAATTAGAGTACCCCGTCGGAATTCAGCCCAGCGGAGTCCATCAGCACCACGGTGCCCACCACGACGTCCTCGCGTACAGCGGTGGCACCCAGCTGTACGGAGTCACGCAGTACTACGATGGCCAGCACGAAGTACACAGGCACCTCGGCGGCCTACTGCCCTCCAGAGTCGAGCCTTACCACGGCGGCCACAACGACACTCTACGCTCTACGAAGTTGAGCTGCCCCATCACTGGGGGGAGGGAGGAGGAGTAGGAGGAGGAGTAGGAGGAGGAGGAGGAGGAGGAGGAGGATGAGGAGGAGGAGGAGGAGGAGAAGGAGGAGGAGGAGGAGGAGGCGGAGGCGGAGGCGGAGGAGGAGGAGGAGAAGGAGGAGGAGGGGGAGGCTCGACGAAGCTGAGCTGCCCCACGGCGTCCACCAGGACAAAGCAGTAACAGCCCCCGTGCCGCTGCCCATGCCGCAGCCTGTGACCCTCCCTCTCCGAGCGTCCGCAGACTCCCGCGGGCATCGGCCACGGGGGCCACGAGGCCGATGCTGCTGCCCTCCCTCCTGCCGTTGTTCCCTTGGGGGGGGGGAGGAGGAGGAGGGAGGAGAAGGGGGACAGAGGGGAAGCTCCAAGAAACAGATACTGCGCGAAAGCGTGCATCTTCGGAGTTACGCGCGGATCGCCCGGAACGGGACTGCGCTCCCTTCCCTCCTGCCGTTGCTCCCTCTGACTCTCCCTCCGAGCGTCCGCCGACTCGAGAATCTGCTTGCGGTTCAGCCGACAGGAACGAGAGCGCACACTCGCCTGCGACGGGACCGTCGCCCCAGTACCAGGGTGGCCAGCACGACGAACACGGACACCTCGGCGGCGTCCGGCGCATAGGAGCCGAGGCGTGCCACGGCGACCATATCAACGCTGTCGAGCGCCATGGCGGCATCCAGCTCTGCGAGGTTGAACTGCCCCACGGCGTCCACGAGGACCAAAACAGCAACCAGCCACTACGCCGTAGCCGATGCCTCAGTCCATCGCACCCCCGCGGGCATCAGCCACGGTGGTCACCCGGCACATGCAGCCGCCTTCCTTCCTACCGTAGTTCCTCGCGACTCTTCCTCAGATCGTTCTCCGGCTACCACTGGTGACCCCCGGACGGGCCACCATGCCCAGCTCCCTGAACGAGCCAAGCGCCTCGTACATACGTCCCTACGTCACATCCAAGAGTTGCCGGGGACCCTCCTCGCACGACTCCGCCGAGCCCAGTCCGCCCGGGACGCCACCCCGTCGGCGTCTCCACCGCCTCTCCCCCATGGCACTCCTTCCATGATGTCATGCGGGCGCGATTCGCTTCTCACCGCCAGCGTGACAGCTGCTAGCCTCCCCCCCCCCCTGCCTTCTGCGTCCCATGTGAGCGCCTGGCACCTGGCTCAACGGGTCACGCTGCGGGTCGCGGTGGGGATGCCCGCCCCCCCCCCGCGCGACGCGTCTTTTGGGGCTTCCCACGCGCGGACGCCAAGGCACGCTGTTCCCGGGGCCGCCTGTCGCCGTGTGCGTGCACATCGGGGGTGCCAGCCCGGGATCGCCATGCCCCTGCTTGTTTTCCAGTCCTAGTTTGTCGGACGGTGCCAGGGGGGCGGGTCTCCCACCACCGTTTTTATACATGTGGCCCCTCCCGCCACACGAGGTTGGCGCAGCCGGGCTAGCATCTCGTGCGTCCAGACGGACACTCCGCCCGAACGGTTGCGTTCTCTCTCCCTTCCTCTCTCTCCTGTTCTCTCCCTCTTTCTATTTACATACATATGTACAGAGATGTGGATGCATGCATATATGCACGTCCGTCTGTATGTATGTACGTACGTAAATATGAATGCGTGTATGTTTGTGGGGTATATATATATTGATGCATGTATGCATGCATGTATGCATGTCTACATGCATTCGTGTATACATGTAGTAATGCATGCATGTGTACAAATATGCATGTGTGCTTCTATGTATGAGTTCGTGTATGTATGAATGTGTATGTGTATGCATGCATGTGTGTATGTCAAGCTGTCTGCCTACATGTATGTATGCGTGTCTGTGTGTGCATGGACATATGTACGTGTGTGCATGTGTCTTTGTGTGTATGTCTGTGGGTATGCATGCATGCAGGTATGTGTCTGTATGTATGTACATGCGTACACATGCATGGTTGCATGTGTGTATGTATGCACGCATGTATATTTGTAATGCAAATACTTTACAATGTGATGCACTGTATTGTGATTTACTGCAATGTAATGGAATGCAGAGTTTCCATGCGTGCATACATGTACGTATGTATGTTTGTAGGTATTACAGGCCGGGCCATGTAATGAAATAGAATCAATTGTATTGCAATGTGATGGAATGGAAGTTCTTGTAGTGTAAAATAATTGCATGCAGTGCAATGTGATGTGCTGTAGTGTTTCGGAATGTTTGGATGTCTATATGTATATGTGTAGTATTGCCTGTCAGTTTGTATGAATGTCTGTATGTCTGTATGCCTGTCTCTCTGTCTGCCTGTCTGCATGTCTGTGTGTCTGCTGTATGTATGTCTGTATCCATGCTTGGCTCTGTCCATTTCGTTCTCTCTCTCTCTCCCTCTCTGTCTAGCCCTGTCTTTTCCTCTAGTCATTGTTTCTGCCTGCTTCTGCCTCTCTTTCTGTGTGGGATAAGAATGACGGGGACGAGGATCGGGATGAGGGCGATGACGGGAACGAAGATGATGAGCTGGAGAAGGGGACAGCAGGGAAGACGATGAGGACGAGGACGGCGATGTGGAAGAAGATGCGGAAGACGATGAGGACGAGGACGGGGACGAGGATGGCGACGAGGACGAGGGCGAGGCCGAGGATGGTGTCGTCTGCGATGACGAGGGCAGGGCCGAGGACGAGGGCGAAGGCAAGGACGAGAGAGGGACGAGGGGGATGGGATGGAGGCAGTGGGAGAAGAGAGACGACGAGGGAGCAGCGAGGATCGAGGTCACGGTTCGAGCATCGAAGTTTTCGGACGTTGCGATTATCTTGTCGTGGCGCCAACATCGCCAAAAGCGGATTTCGTTCGGAAAACAATCGGATGGGCCCGGATTGTCCTGGAGAATTTCGCTCCAGATTTCGAAGTGAATTTCGTGCGGATTTTTCCCAGGAGTCACGATTACAAAACGTCCACGTAAAACTTACTTCGTGTTTCGCTCGCCGTGTCGGGGTCTTACATTACAGAAATCCAAGCACGAAATCCGCCGCAGCACGTTCGGAAGGTCGGTGCAGTGAATCTTGTGGGGCCTCCAGGGACCTGCGGCGGCCACCCGCATGGGCGCCAAGACCGCCGCACTTCGCAGCCTGTGCTGGGGAGCTTCGGGCCGAACGAAAGGGGGGGGATTATGGAAAGGGGGGGTTACGAAATTTGCTGCATGCAGCTGGTTTCGGCCCGCCGCGCGGCCCAGTCCTCGATACATGGGCGCCTCCCGGCGCCGGGAGGCCCTGGGAAAATCAGCTACGTGAGCTGATTCTCTACCCTACCCTTTGCTATCCCCCCCCCCTGTCGTTCCCCCCGAGAGCTGCAGCGCCGCCTCCTCCTCTCTGCTCTGCAGCGCCGCCGCCTTGGGCGAGCCCGCCTAGCAGACACTGCTAAGGGGCCACCACGATGAGGTGCGGCACTGCCGGTCTGCGTCGCACTGACGTCTGGCCATGTCCGGCGTCGTGGCCCACCCCCCGCGGGCCTGGAACATTGTTGAATATATGTTTATGTGTGTGCATATTTATATATATGTACACATAAACATATATATATATATACATCTATATGCGGGTGGAATGTCCACTTGTAAAGAACGGAAAGATCAGATTCAAAGATATCGAAATATATTCAACCCATACGATTTGGAATGTGGGTTGGGATTCCGGATTGGTCCCGGGACGGGAAGCGCCTCCGCCCTCGAGAAGCCATTGCGCGTTGTAGGATGCGCCGCGTATGCGTTGCGGTCGATGTCGAGGGGGGGCCCAGCCCTGGCGCGCCCAGATGCGGGCGCAACCCCACCCTGCGGGCGCCGACGGGAGGTCGAGCTCACCCCCAGCGAACAGATACCCGGGGTCCATCACCAGAAGTTACTCCTGCGAGAGGGTCATTCCCACGTGCAGTCGACTCGAGACCTTCTCCGCGTCCCCCGTGGAAGGAGGGGAAGTCGGGATCAACACATCACGGCTTCCGGTATAAGAGCGATTTCAACATGTTTGCTGTTTACCACCGGGCACCCCACATTGTGGGTTATTGCACTCCCGATGTGCAACATGAGTGGTGCCATTTACAGTACAGCCTACGTGTTGCAATCTATACGGAGGGATTAATGTTTAAGGAATCTGGGGTCCCCAGCTCCAATGTTCTGGCAAACTTCCCACCCATCCGTCCGCAACGTCTTGGTGGCGTCGACATTGGCGACGACGGCGATGTTATTGTTGATGATGATGGTGATGGTGATGGTGATGGTGATGGTGATGATGAGGATGATGATGATGATGATGATGATGATGATGATGATGATGATGATGATGATGATGATGATGATGATGATGATGATGATGGTGATGATGATGATGATGATGATGATGATGATGATGATGATGATGATAATGATGGTGGTGGTGGTGGCGATGATGATGACGAGGGCGACGACAACCACGATAATGATGACGATGATGACAATTGTGGTTATGATGACAACAACGATGGTGATGGGGATGGTGTTGACGATGGTCGCGATTGCAATGATGACGCTGGCGATGACGACGGTGCTGCTAAAGTTCGTGAGGGAGTGCGCGCGCGCAGAACCTCTCATGCGCAAAATGCATCCCAAACAGCGTATGGCTTGGCATACGGTGCTGACCACCTCTATCTAGTGGCCTTCGGCCCATCCGCCACCATGCCTGGGTTGTGGGTCAGAGTTCTCAGAGATGTTTCTTGGCTCTCGGGGGCCTCTTGAGTGCAATTTTGGAACCTATTGCGTGCTTCTTGGGGGTCTCTTGGGGGCTTCTTGCGGCCTCTTGGGGCCTCTTGGGGGCCTCTTGGGGGCCACTTGGGGGCCTCTTGGGGGCCTCTTGGGGAGCTCGTGGGAGGCCCATCGGGCCCGAGGGCTCGAAATGCCTTGGGCACCCCATCTGGACCCCCGTCTTGGAGCCGTCCTTGGGCCTCTTGGGCAGTCCTTGGCGCCTCTTGGGCCGTCTTGGGGCAATATTTGGGGCCTCGAGGCGAGGGCCGTCTGGGAGCGTCGGGAAGCCGAAAAGGCGAGAGCACCCAAACCCTTCCAAAACCGATGTAACATGAATGGTGTTGGCCTCTTGTGAAGCTCCTTGGAGGCCTCTTGGGGCGTCTTGGAGACCTCTTGGGCCGTCTGGCGGCCATCTCGACCATCTTGGAGCGATCGTTCGGCGACTCGGTGCCCTCTTGAACCGTCTTCGGGGCCTCCCGGGGCCCTCTCGGCCCGTCCTGTGGCCGCCTCGGGCGCGACAAAGTCATGCGGCAAGCCGCGACGGGTCCCCGGGAGCACGCGGGAAGCCCCGGGAGATCTGGCGATGCGGGCTCCTGGCCCCGCAAAGACTCTTCACCAGGGGGGGCGGAGGCTTCTGGGATGAGGCGGAGGACCGGAGGACACGCCCACTCCGTGCCTGGCGGCACGGTGGCGGATCTCGGACTGCTCGGGAAACCGTTGGTTTTGCAAGGCGTGCGTGCCAAGGGACTCGCGCATGTGGCCCGTATCGTGCTGACCGAGCTCGCAGGGTGAGCGATCACCGACCCACCAGTCAAACATTGACCCCTTGATATTGCCGTGAGCGAATTTAGACATGAATTGCAGGGCGAACCCAGCCGTAGCGACGAGGACGACAAAGGACGAGCAAGAGAAGCGAGGCACCTAGAGCCTCGTTCCTCGCTTCCCCTCTCCCTAGGCTTCCCAGATGGAGCCCGAGCAGATGGTGTCGGAGGATCGCGCCGCATCGCCGATGCACCGCCGATGCCGCTTAATGTTGAGCATGTTTCTCTCCATGCCGTCGGCGCCGCTGCATCGGCGATGCGGCGCGATCGTCCGACCCCGTCCACTCGGACCCCACCCAGGAGGTCTCTGCTCCCTCCCTCCGCACTCCACGCTCGATCCGAGAGTCCTCGATCGTTCAGGCATGGTGGCGGCGACGGCGGTGGCGGCGACCTCCCCCCCCCCACCCGCTGCCAGCGCGGTGTCGGGCGCCATGCGGTTCATGGCCGCACAGGTGCAGCACTTGATGAAGACCCCGGAGCTGCCCTCCTGGCAGGCCCGGGAGCTTTCCCTCCCTTCGTTCGACTACACGTAAGAGTGACCCTTCGCTGGAGTGACCTTTGGTGCGTGCCCTTGGGGTCCCCCGATCGCCGAACGCGATGCGATTTTAGCGTCTTGTGCTCTTGTGTTTGATCCCCCCGCGGCCCCCCAAAAGCCGCGCACCAAGGGTCACTCTTACCCAGGGTGACTCGTGCATGTAGCCGATTAGTTGATGTAAAAACGCAGGGGGCGTGCTTTATGTCCCGTAATCAGCTGCTCGGTTCCGGGCCAATCAGAACGGAAGCAGCCAACGGCAGCCCAACAACAGAGCAGACAGCAATACGGGAGAAAATACCAGAACCGATCCGAACATGGCGCGAACTAGAAGTTCAACACTCGGGCCGAACAAAAGGGGGGGATAGGGAAAGGGGGGGGGTCGAAATCTGCTGCATGCAGCTGGTTTCGGCCCCGCCGCCGGGCCCGTTCCTCGATACAGGGGCGCCTCCCAGCGCCGGGAGGCGCCGGGAAAATCAGCTACGTGAGCTGATTCTCAAACCCCCCTTTGCTATCCCCCCCTTTCGCCCGGCCCGAAACAGGGGGACAGCTTCCGGCCTGGAGAAAACGTCGCTCTTGACCTCCGGAGAAAAAGAAACGCCGTCTTCAATACGAGCGAGGGCCGCCGCCCTTCGCAGCTCTCTGCCGTCCTCCCGCACTCCGGACGCGGCAGGCGTGCGCGGCGGCCCTGCGCGGCCTCTCGTGGGGGGGCCTCCGGGGGCAGGGCGGCTGCGGAGGGGAGGTGCCCGGTGCTGCTGCCGCGTGATCAGCATCATCTTGATCATCGTCATCATCCTCATCATCATCATCATCATCATCATCATCATCATCATCATCATCATCATCATCATCATCATCAGCATCAGCATCAGCATCAGCATCATCATCATCAGCATCAGCATCAGCAGCAGCAGCAGCAGCATCATCAGCATCAGCATCATCTGCCGCGGTGGAGGGTGCGGAGGGTGGGAGGCCTGTTGGCGGGAGCCCGCCGCTGCGGCGTCGGGCGCCCGCCGACGGGCCTCCGGCCCCGAGGTCGGGGAGGGTTCCGCGGGCAGTTCAGTGCGGGAGGTCGGGCGGCCGCGCCGCGGGGCGGCGCTCCGATCTGATCGAACGAACTGGGTACGGAAAGAATGGGCACAAGTGGCACGCGCGCCCATGTCTGATGGGCCTGTTTTCCACCACCGCCACCATACGTTGGAGGGGAGGGGTTCCTCCTCCTCCTCCTCCTCCTCCTCCTCCTCCTCCTCCTCCTCATCCCTCTCCTCCTCCTCCTCCTCCTCCTCCTCCTCCTCCTTTTCCTCCTCCTCCTCTTCGTCCTACTCCTACTCCTCCTCCTCCTCCTCCTTTGGAGTGGTGCTCTCGACGAACTCGCTCGTCATATCTGCATGGTTGCCTGGGACACCTCTACCGAGGGGCGCCTCAATACTGTAGATTACTTTCGGTGGCTGAATGACCCGCGTAACTCCTTGACGCGGCACGGGCTCTGGGAAGAGATGGTGGATCGACATTTCCAAGCCCTTCGTGAGATTCGCAGAGAGATGAGGCAATACTTGGGACCCGCTGCACCACACCGTATTCGTGACTTCCTTGTGGACAGCAATGGAGACGAGTCCCTGCCCATCGTTGCTGCCAACGGGTCGGTGCACTACTTTGCCTCACTCGTCTCAGCAGTGGACCCCGATGATGGCGATGCCGCCGATGGTGATGGTGACGTTGACCCTGCCTCCTTCCTCCTCCAGGTCTCGATCGCAGGGTGCTCCTCGAGCCCTGCGTCCACTGGCGTTAGAACGCGGAGGTCGACCGCCTCTGATGGAAATAACGGCTCTGGAGTAAGTTGTGAGCTTGCGTCTCGAGTTCGGAGGTCGACCGCCTCTGTTTTAAATAAGGGCTCTGGAGTAAGTTGCGAGCCTGTGTCTCGAGTTCGGAGGTCGACCGCCTCTGTTCTAAATAAGGGCTCTGGAGTAAGTTGCGAGATCTCGTCTCTTGTGCGGAGGTCGACCGCCTCTGATGGAAATAAGGGCTCAGACATCGAGAATTGCGCCTTCTTCGTGAATTGCGCCGACGTCGAGTGTTGCCCCGTCATGGTGAGTTGCGCCGTCTTCGAGAGTTGCGCCGTCTTCGAGAGTGTCTCCGTCAACGAGAGTTGCGCCGTCTTCGAGAGCTGCACGCCATCCTCGAGAGTTGCGCCGTCTCGGAGAGTTACGCCGTCGTCACGAGCTTCTCCGTTGTGGACACGGATCGCCTCTCTCTTCGCTACTACCCCGTGCTCGTTTTCCCCGACCTGGCCGTGTTCGACGGCTGCTGCCCCTTCGTTTGCGCCCTGTCCGTCGCTGATGGCGGGACCCTCCTCTTCGATTTCGCCTCTGACGAGAATTTCGTCGTCATGGTCATGCAGTGCTACTCTATCTTCTTCTATTGGTACGAGTCCTGGTACAGGAGTTGGGGGCACCCTCAGATTGCCCTATGTGTGTGAGTGCCGTCGGAAAAGGCTCCTGTTGCCCATTTTCCTCAGGCGCCCGAGCCCGAGGCACCTGCATAGTGGGCGGAAGTACAGGCGTAGGTTGTCTTCCCAACGGGGGGCGCGGTGCGAGTGGGGACTGCCCGGCGGTGCGCCGTTAGTGACCCTCGCACCGTTGCTCCCCGGCCCCGCGCACGGCGCGGAGAGTGCCCCTTGTTGGATGAGGGTCTCTCTCTCGTCCCTTTCCTTTTCGAGGCGTGTTCGTGATTCACCTGCACGCTCTCGGCACTGTCCTCACTGCTCTCTGCGTCTCGTCTCGGTCCCATCTTGCGTTCTCGCTCCCCCCTGCACTCAGCATCCTCTGAATAAGAATGATATAAATTCGACGGCTATCCGCTGCACATCATGGGCTGCAGCGTCGGCGGCCTCAGCTACAACAGCTTCGACAGGAGGCGTGCCCATGCTGCCTCAGGCGCCGTGCTAGGCGCGGGGAGCTGACCTCTGGGTACGCTGGTCTCCTCCTCCTCCTCCTCTCATCCACTTTATGGTGGTGGTGGGCGTGGAAAACAGGCCCATCAGTGTCCCGTATCGGCACGAACGACATGGGTACGGAAAGAATGCGTGCAATGCCCAACAGCAGTTCCTGTTCGTTTCGAACAGGACTCGCTGTCCGCGCCGCCTCGGCCCGTGTCCATTTGAGACAGAGGGCCGCCTGCCCAACAGCGGCCGCTGCTGGTTTGGGACAGCATCTGTTGTTGGGCATTGTGCCCATGTTTTCCGTACCCATTTCGGGCGTCCAACTCCGAGCAGGGAGCGGCCTTCAGGAGCCGGGGAGGACCAGAAGAGGGGGGGGGGGAGAGGACGAGAGGGGAGGTTTCGAAGCTTTTGTCTTAACACCGGGGAGCCTATTACTGCACGAGAGGGCGAGGAGGAGTACGAGGACGGAGGAGCGGGGGTGGGGAGGAGGCAGTGAGGAGGGGGCGAGGATACGAGGAGCAAGAGGGGCGAGGGTGTTGGGGCGGAGCAGAGATTTTTGGGGGTACTGATGGGTTCTTCGCGGCTCTTGGATGCTCCTGGAGGCCTCTAAGCAGGAGGAGAGTGGAGGGGGGAGGGGGGAGGCAGAAGGGGAGAGGTCATGGGGCCTCTGGGAGGGACTAGGAGCAATGTGATGCGCGAGGCGGAGCAGGAGGAGGATGAGGACGGAGACGAGGAGAGTGAGAAGGAAGAGGAGGAGGAGGAGGAGGACGGAGACGACGAGGAGGAGGAGGAGGAGGAGGAGGTGGTCAAAGAAGCGTGATGCTGACGAGCGAGGGCACGGCCGTAGCATGCGGCCGTGGTGATGACGGGGAGTGCGCGATTCTGGAGCTCGTCGCAGGCCAGACCTGCGCACGTGTCGCCGCCAGAAGCTCTCTCACCGCCCTGCTGCTGACGAGCAAGGGAGCAAGGGCAAAGGCGAGCGCACGTCCGTGGCCTGCCGACGAGCGAGGGCCTCGGTGCTGATTCTCGAGGTTTGACTTCGCTTGATGTCTTGTTACACGTGTCCGAGCTCTTCCTTTCTTCCGTATGGGGGACTGCCTGTTTCGGCCTCCGGGAAATGCTGTAGACCTCCAAGATTTACAGGCGGAGTCCCGTTGGTCTGGAACGTCCTCGCGGTTCCTCGGGTCGCTCATTCGGCTCCTCTTCGGGCTTCCCGCCCCAGTCCGACTTGGCTGTTGCACTAACAACGGTGCGCCGCTTTCGTTCTAATGCCAGGACGGTGGCTGGGTCCCCCCCAAAAAAACAACTCGACCAGACCGAAGCCCAAAAAAGGGGCGCCGCCTCTGGTTTCAGCCCTCTTGCATTTGGCAGGGTGTTGTTCTGACCAGGATGTCCTGGCGGCTCCAGCCGTGGCGGCGAGGTCCCCCCCGAAGGCCCAAAAGGGGCGCAGTGGGAGCAAGGAGAGGGAGGAGAACCCCTACGACGTGTTGGCGAAGCACATCGTGCGGGGAGGAGGGGGAGGAGGAAGTCAGCAGGGGGCCTGGGCTCCACCTGAGGAGCCCAGGACCCCCCAAGCGCGCTGCGCTCAAAGGGGTGCGCCCACACGGGGTCCACGAACGCTCCGACGTCGCACAGCTCACGGCGCAGACCAGGTGTCTTCACGAATCACCGAGTGCCGTCGAACAGTTCCAACAATTCGCAGTCGCCCCAAACAATGCTCGCGTTCCCGGCGATACACCCCTTCGAGCTGCCCATCGAAGCATTCCAAGCACGGGCAAAGAGAGAAGTGCCTGACGAACCCTTATCCGCACGGTTGCCTGTAGCAAATGAGCGGACGAAATTCCCCGGGGCAGATGTCGGTGGCGAACACCATCTCAAGAGGAGGAGGAGGAGGAGGAGGAGGGGGAGGATTCGCTGAGGATTCGCTCGCGGTCGGTTTGTCGAGGCCGCCGAGGCCGCGGCGACGACACCCTGCGAGGCGCCCATCGTCCCAGGCCTGTCCTGGGCAATCGGGGGCCTTTCTC